CCTCCTTTTCTTTTTTTTTTTTTTTTTTTTTTGCAAGCGGGCCCACAAAGCCCAAGCATTTTCTTTTTGCCGAGCCTCGTCTAGATCACTGAAAAATGTGGTGTGACGTATATTCCCATTTTTCCCAACAGTGAGAAAGGGAGTGGTGATTTAAACCACCAGTACCTTTCCCCGCTTGGGAAAAATAGCACGGCGGGTAATATGGAGCTGCAGGCCCCACAAAATGGCTGGAGGCAGTGGCCACATACATCCGTGTGGGTTTGATCTGTTGCGGTGCGCATGACAAATTCGGGCCCACGGGCAATATATGAGAAAGGTACTGGTGGATTAAACCACCAGTACTTCCCAGCTATCGGCTGCGGGCCTTCCCCGTTAACGCGCCGGGGCCTGTGGAGGTCAGCCAAGGGAAGGCCCGGTCGATGCTTCTTGCCCGGGGCCCGCCAACTACGGGATGTCACCGAAGAAGCGTAAGAAAAAGAAAAAAAAACACAGAAAAAAAACAAAAACAAAGAAGAGAAACGGACCCTATGTCATAGGCGCGCCGTAGGAGAGAGAGAGAGAGAGAGAGAGAGAGAGAGAGAGAGAGAGAGAGAGAGAGAGAGAGAGAGAGAGAGAGAGAGAGAGTGCCGCACCGCTCCACTACTCTCGAAGTGTGCAAAACGAGATTCCACTAGAACATGGAAAGATACACCGCCATGATTATCGTCTTTTGTGCATGTCGAGAGTAGTGGAACAAAAGACAATAATCATGCCAGTGTATCTTTCCATGTTCTAACGGAAGATTCACTCTCGTTTTGCACACTTTGAGAGTAGTGGAGCGGCACGGTACTCTCTCTCTCTCTCTCTCTCTCTCTCTCTCTCTCTCTCTCTCTCTCTCTCTCTCTCTTGGTGCGTGCACGCGCGCGCGCGAGAGAGAGGGCCGCGCGGCTCCACTTCTCTCAAAGTTTGCAAAACGAGAGTGAATCTTCCGCTAGAACATGGAAAGATACATCACCATGATTATTGTCCACTGTGCACACGTCGAGAGAGAGAGAGAGAGAGAGAGAGAGAGAGAGAGAGAGAGAGAGAGAGAGAGAGAGAGAGAGAGAGAGAGAGAGAGAGAGA